AGAGAGAGAGAGAGAGAGAGAGAGAGAGAGAGAGAGAGAGAGAGAGAGAGAAAAGACGGCAATATGTATGTACGCAGTCAATACACAAGTAAAACAAAACTGAGTAAATACCACACCTCCACGCCACATCAAACACAACTTGACGAGTCCTCAGCGGTGGCCCAGACAAAGGAACGCGTCCCTTAACAGGACTGATTATCGATTACTCAGTCCATTGATCGAGCTCGGTAACTGTTGCGTTGCGCAGAAGCAAGACAAAGATAATAAAGAAAAATAAAGACGTAATGGCGACAGATTCTCTTGAAAAATCCTCTCCTCCCCTTGGGGTAAAAGTGGTAATCGCAATGCTGCTGCAGTCTAGAGAACAAATGTCTTATCATTACTATGTGAAATGAGGCAGGTATAATATATTTTGATCTCAAAGAGTAGGACTTACAACTTATCTGTTTGCCATAAGTTTCAGACGTAATATGAAAGAAGTGCAGCTGGACACATTTAAGTTTGCATAACGCACATGAAGAGTCATTGACAGATCTTCTTAAGAATTGACAATCACGCAGATAGGAAAGGTGAGAAGCAGACAGAAAAAAGAAAGACTGAAAAAAAAAGCAAGACAAGCAGACGGGCAGACAGACAGACAGACAGACAGACAGACAGACAGACAGACAGACAGACAGACAGACAAAGGCAATAAGTTACGGTCATTTCGGAGAAAACAGACTATAAACGGTGAGACACAAGAATCAACGGTACGTTCATTCATTTGAGGGTTTCATAATATTATAGACCCGATCAATATAACATACAAAGCCCCCGGGTCGTTTTGGAAGGAGAGAGAGAAATGCGATAACAATATACATGACTTTTTTTTGAGAAATGAAATCACTGTGTCTGTATGTGTGAAGATCAGTGCACGACAGAAAAGAGGATGTGTATTTAATCGGTTTATGTGTCTACAAGCATGTCAGTGTCTATTTGCGAGAGCGTATTTGTTTGTGCGCGCGCGCGCGTGTGTGTTTGCGTGTGTGTGTGTATGAGAGAGGGGGGGGGGTGCGCACGCACTCGCGCGTGTGTGTTGCATGTGGGAGAGACAGATAGATGGGAGAGTGAAAGGAGAAAGCAGATAGCGGGGAATGAGAGAGAGACACAGAGAGAGAGACAGAGAGAGAGAGAGAGAGAGAGAGAGAGAGAGAGAGAGAGAGAGAGAGAGAGAGAGAGAGAGGGGGGGGGTCATTAATGTTATCAACGCTGGCACTAGCTTTATAATAATATAGCTTAAACCGGGCATAGACTCCGACTATCCCGCGGGCCAAAGCAGGAACACATTTGGTGAAGTCGGATGGAATACCGAAGTTCTTCACAGT